GGCATAAAGTGGAAGAAAAATAGACCTATCTTTGTAGTCAGTTTTCAGAGAAGTTTAAGGAAACAGTGAAAAGACAGCAGTGAAAAGACAAGTTATTCAATGGTTTACCTTATAAATGAGTTAAAATCAGAATCAATACATATGAAAAAAAAATATTTCAAATTAGTTATAACTGCACACATAACATTTCCCGTTGCCATTCTGCTTCTTTCTCTGAGTAAGTCAAAAGACAGCGACATATCTATATAGGCCCCTGAATCAGATATGAGACTGGATCAGACTTCTAGAAAATTCAGGTCTGGATCTCTGCTTCATAGCTCATCTGTCTTTGGAAATTTTTTGAACCTGGACAAGCATTACTGTAAAGGCAGGGAAAACCTGTGGCTGAGCATCAAGATCTGAAATGTGGGCTGTAAAAATGAGAGTTAAACTTCAGCCTGACATGAGACACAGTATATTACTAAGTACAAAACTGAGTGACATGAGGATTCTATTCAGGAGAATTAAAATGCCCTTTAATTCATTGTGTAGAACGTACTTCTTTTTTTTTAATTTGTCTTCAAATGCAATCTAAAGATAAAAATGTGGAAATGCCAAATGTTTGAGCAAAATGAGGTTTAATTGTAACACTTCCCTTGAAATACACACAATGGACTGTCCATTCTGACAAGTATTATGACACTTTATTTTTATTATCTAGGGTCTGACTAAACCCACTTTGGCATCTGAGCTTAGATTTAACTGACAAATAATTATCAGCATGCTGCACTGCAAAGCTCAGGCAGTCATGTTTTATTCCTAAATTCTATCTAGAAACCCAGAAGAGTCATTTGTTAAGCTAAATTTATGTTCAGCTGAAAATCCAGGATTCTCTGTGGGTCTTTTTGTCCTCATTAAAAGTAGCTGGAGCTGGACGAGATTCAATGAACAGGTTGATAGGTTTCACATGTACAATTTACATGTCTTTCTGTATATTTAGCAGCAAAATTTTGCTCATATTTATCCTAAAACTCCGTAACTCTCCCTTTCTGCTAATGAAGTCTTTCAGCAGAAGTTGCCTGGTAAATTGTTGGTCACTTTTCTTCTTTATTCTATGGTAATTTTTATGTATGAGAAAAAAGCTTAAAAGCCCTTTTTTTTAAAAAAAAAAAAAAAAAACTCTGAAGAAAATACACAGTTAAATCATGAACAGGCAAATTGCATTCTGTGTCCCACTAGGACATGTTCAGAACACTGCTTCAAATCACATTTCCCCTGTTAATCACTTCTTTGAATATGTTCTTTTTCCCTATAAACCCTACCATCTCATCAGACATATATTGTCTATCTCCTTTTTTAGTGCCCCCTCGCCCGCACACACACACACACATATACATTTTGTCTGTTACTGACCTCTCTTTGAGAGATTTTTGAACTCTGACATTTAATCTAAATATCTATAGGACTGCCACAGAACCACAGAATCACATAATGCTCAAGGCTGGAAGGGACCTCTAGAGATCATCTAGTCCAGCCCCCCCTGCTCCAGCAGGGACACCCAGGGCACAGGGTGGCATCCAGGCGGGTTTTGAAGATTTCCAGAGAAGGAGACTCCACAACCTCTCTGGGCACCCTCACAGGAAAGTGCTTCCTCACACGGAGATTAATCTTCCTATGTTTCGACTTAACCCCTTTACCCCTTGTCCTGTCACCGGCCACCACAGAGAAGAGCCTGGCCCCATTCTCCCTACAATCGCCCCTCAGGTACTTGAACATATTAATCAAATCTCTCAGCCTTCTAGACTAAACAGGCCCAGCTTGCTTAGTCTTTCCTCATAAGACAGATGCTCCAGTCCTTTAATCATCTTCGTGGCTCTACACTGGACCCTCTCTAGAAGCTCAATGTCCTTCTTGTGCTGGGGAGCCCAGAACTGTACACAGTGCGGTTGCACCAGAGTGAGACCTACAGGTCACACTCCTACAGGTGCTTGTCCTCATTGTGCTTTACATGAAACCATCAATTTACAGAGGTCTGTAGCCTCTGTCAGGTAAGCTAAAGATGTTTCACTGCTTCCATATCTTTGGCTTTTAAGGCACTACGGAAAAAACAGTGGAAAAAAACAGTTTTTTTTTGAAGCAGAGGCAAAAGCAGGCAAAAGCAATTTAGCAGATTGATGAAAATAATAAGTAAACTCCTGCTTTGGTTGACTTTGAGGACAATTTTTTTCTACTAGGGTCAGGTGAGCCAGAGTTTCCCAACATGCTTGATGGCCTGTGTTCAATTGTGTTTCTGTGCTGTGCTAAGACGCACTTGTAGAGTTCCAGCAGGAGGCATGTGGGCTCTGATGGGGCAACTTGGCTGTAAGAAAGCAAGCACATCTGCACCTAGTCCAAAGACAATCAATACCAAGGGACTGGATTAGCTGTCGATGATCTGAAGAGGGTTGTTCAGTGGAGTTCCTCATCTGGTTCAAGTGGCACTCCTATTTGCAAACTTTACTGAATCATGGCCTTAGTTAATACAGAAAAATTTGACTGGTGCCAAAAGGGGAGCCAAATCCAATTCTTGTAAAATCCCTGGTATTCCAAGGGCATTACATGTCTCCTGTTAAAGATGAATTTTAAATCCTTTGCTCTGACTCTTGGTGTTAGGAGGTGGTTTATATCAGCTCTCTGGTGACATGGAACTGATTACATTGAAAATCAAGTCAGATAAGTCTACAAAGTTCTCACTTTCTGCAGTGCTCCAGCTGGGAAGAAAATCAATGTACTTAGCAACAGCAGTGACACCCATTTGGATTAAGTAAGTATTTTCAAATCTGCAAATGAAAAGTGGATTTGATGTTAAAATTTTCACCTCAGCATGAACTAATTGTATGTGAAGGGATAGTGACTTATTAGAAGCTGATAGAAATGAGTGGAGAGAAAATAATTTTGGATTGTTTTTCAGATTTTTTGTCATGTTCCTCTCACAGTTTTGTTTTGGGTATCTCAGTAAATTATCTTTTCATTTCATAATGTTTCCTGTTCATCACTCTCAATGGATAGCTTGTATTTAAAAAAAGAAAATAAAGTCACTAAACCTGACTTAATTAACTTGTGAATTAACATATTTTCTCTCTGCAGAGGCCAATGTAGTCCACCATCTTACTAGGTAATAATGTCCTTGCACTGAATAAAATATTAAAGCTGAAAAAAAGAAATAATTCAAACAATGCATTTGAAAAAATGGCCCTTTTCATGAATTGCAAGTTAGCAGACATTTCTTAGACATTTCCTTGTTTATTTGAAATTTCTACCTTTTAGGAACCTATTTGAGCTGTTGTTCATTCAGAATCTTTGTGGTAAGTGTTCTAGCAATGAGTGCTAGGCAAAATGAGCTATTCAAGCTTTATGATTAGGTTCTCTTATTTCCATGAATGGGTGACTTAATGTTCAAAATAACATCTCCCTGCACCCCAGAGATGAATTTTGTGCTATCGTGAATTGTATTTTAGGCACTATAAAAGTCTCTCTAGACACCCACACTTCACTGTTCCCAACCTTTCATATGAAACTAAAATTAGATTCCTCCAGTGTGGATAAAAAGCAAATAAAAAAGATACACAGACAAATCAAGTTGAAATGTCATTGGTAATGCAGCACACTGATAGAAAATAGGTCTTTATTAGGTTGTATCCAGTCATGCCCACTGTACTGACATCTCAGGAAAGACATCTACATCATTGCGGGGAAATCAATGAATTTTACAGCTCCATAGGCAGAACCTGTCAATAGACCAAACAAAATCTGTGTCAAGGCGTATTGGAAGAATAAGACAGAGAAAATATGAGGAAAGTCAGTTGCATGTTTAAAGTGTACCCTGAGATTTTGGGATTCATGGATTTAATTTCCAGCTCAGCTACAATCTCCTGCAACTTTGTATAAAATTGGAGACTCAGGCATCTGAAGAAGTGGCTTTTTTTTTTTTCTGTAAGTTGCAATCATCTAAACAGCAGAGGAAAACATTGACAGAACTCCGCACAGGCATGGAGATATTTGGTTATTCATCCAGTGAGATTCACTACCTATGAAAGAGTCACCGTATGTCTTTTTGTAGGGTCTTAGGGTCTTATGCCTATTTTCTTTGTGCCATAAGACCAACAGTGAAAGCTCCCATACATGGGTACCAATGTTGCAGAGAATATCCAACACTTTCATTACGGCACGAAGACTTACTTCTAACAAATGAAAGAAGGAGAGTATTTCAGTCAGAGCTCCAAAGCTGCTGCTTTTGATTAGATAGCAAGAAAAAAGGGTATTGTGCTAGCACTGCTGGGCACATCATGACGTAAAGAGAAATTAATAGAAGACATAATAAAAATGTCATAGCTTTTTGGAATAAAAATATTTTTGCCACTGTTTTGGAAAAATGACAAAATGTTGTGGCAGTTTTTGCTAAAATGAACGCAATTTCATGGAAAATATCAGCTTAGTCAAAACATGATTTCCTGAAATGACTCATGTCTGAATGAAAACTTGGTTAAGGATATCTTTTAAAGCACTTATCCTTCTATCTGAAACATGCAAATAATCTTCATTACTTGACCTTTTGAACTTCTGATAACTTTTAGTAAATATTTCTGTGAGGTAAAGCAATATTATTACCCTTATTTTGGAAAAGTAGTACTGAGTCTTGGAAAAGATTTTAAAATTGTATTTAAATGCCTAGGGAGGTAGAGTAGCCTGAAGTTTTGACATATAGGCATGAGTTAGGTGCTAAGGAACTGTGTATTTGTTTCTTTAGAAGTCTAAAAAAAAATTAATTTTGGTTAAAACAACTTTTGTTCATTGCCAAAGCATGGGACCTTGGTGGTTGAGATTGGTTTCCCCTCATATTATGACTAGTGTTTCTCTTGTGGGAAGAAGCAGGATAGCAGCTCCAGCCCATTCGCTGTCCAACCAGGCCAGTCTGCCTGAGCTGTTTACGCCAGACTTTCAGTTGCACAGATTTGTAGAGCAGAAATAATGAATGCACTTACTCGTGCAAGTCTTGTTGTATTTAGGATTCTCCTGAGGAAACCCTTCCAGTCGGCACTGGAACCTGTGCTGCCAAAATTCCTGAAACCAAGGATTTCGGTGGTTAGTTTCTGGCCGAAGCTGTAGGTAATAATCATCAAACCATTTCACATCAGGAGACTGAAGCTTGATCGTTATTCCACCAACAGCTTCACGCTGATACCCGTCTGTCACATCATACCGGTCTGCCCAGCCATCACTGCAGGGAAAAACAGGAGAGAGACAATATTAACCTTTCAAAAGAACAGGAAAGGTGTTTTTGTTTTTGTTTTTATTTTCATTTTTTGAAAATAACATTAGGAGCTTAAGTGCACACACCCACACCTGTGTTTCAGAGCAGAGTTTATAAAACATTGGTAATACCCCTAGAAGTTCTCACTTTTTTTTTCTGTTTTCTTATACTTTCTTGTAATTGGAACCTTCTGTTTACATATTATGTTCTTTGTCCTCCACTTCAGGTAACTGAAACAATGTTAAGAAATCATGGGTCCTGAAATTTGCTGTACATAGGTGCATCATCACTGCATCACACTGAATCCCACTGAGTTCTGGAGAGAAAAAAAGTTGGACTCAGTGTTTTACTGACCTCAGAGTGATGTTACGCATGTCTAAGAAGAGGTAACCTTGAGAGTAAGTGCTCTGGGTGCTGATAGGAGGACCAGCAGGGTCATGCTCTTGGCCTTGTCTATGCAGCATAATGGAGCATGGAGTGAAGTGCCCCAAGATAAACTGACACTGCTCAAGCAGAGGTACCAATCAATCCTTGCTGCAGACAGGACTGATGGAGCTGAGCAGAGCATCATGCAGGTGTAATGTTTTGCTACCATGCCTTGGTTGCTGGTGTCTGGAGTTTGCAGACTCATGGAACATTGTTCTACATGCAGCATTTTAATCCCCTTGTTTTAGCCAATCTGCTTGCAACATTCTGTTTAAAAATAGATAACGGAAGAGGCTAAAACCTTAACATCACAAATATCTCATGGAAAATTTCTGCCCCCACATCAGTTTGATAATTGATTTCCTTGAACAAACTGACATTTTATAAATTTTGCTCAACTCTGCCAAAAACATACATATCTCATTAGAGCATAGCAGATTTCCACTGTTTTGTCATGGCCTGAGTTAGTAGCCCATGATTCCATGTCTTAAAACTTGCAAGGAATTTCAGACTCCTTCCCTCCTTCCTTCTTTCTTTTTTCTTCCTTCCCTTTCTCCTTCTTTCCCTCCCTCTCTTGCTTCCTTCCTCCCCTACTTCCTTCCTCCCCTTCCCTTTTCTTCTCCCTTTTCTGCTTTCCAAAAGTATTTATATATACTTGTAAAAAGCACTGATGTTAATAATTACATAGAGCATCCTTAAAATCCTAAAGGCTAAATAACTGAAAAATAATAATAAAACATCTTATTTCATATTATTTTTAATTTTCTTGAGTTGTTTAAAGCTAGCCCTAACTCTTTAAATTAGTTGTACTGTAACTGATCTAGGTGACCTTTAGCTGTATCAATCTGTTGCTCTATTCAGGTTGTCTGCCGTCTGGTTTCAGCTTTGCTCTTATGCTTCAGAATATGCATGAAGTCTGTCCCTAGCACATTTCGTCTTCTCTGCTTAGGGACTCTGTTGGCATTGCACATTGCACCAGTCAAGATCTTAGACTGCGACTCCTTCTGCACAAGGCATGGTTTTTATGAAGCCTGGAATCTGACTGTATCTTATTAGCACATCAGCAATGCCAGTAAAAGTAGCTTCCCCAGAGGCAAAAATAATATCCAGTGTCTGGAACAAAAATAAAGGGACTATTAAACATGTTTCAGATTTCAAGTGAAGTACTTTACTCAGCACAAAAGAATAAAATATACATTAATGAAAGGAGAAAGATGAGCCCTGGCTTTCAGCTCAAATACAGCAGTTTTTGAAAATTTACCTTCAAGCTTACATCCAATTAGGGATGAACACACGTGTTAATAATGTTCCCAAATGCACTCAGGAGTCTCAGACACTCCATCTTATATCAGGACTATTTACTGGTCTATGAATTAGAACTATTTACAGGTCGTTTTACTGATAAAAGCCACAGAGGTGTTTTTAAAATGTAGGAATGATTTAACCTTTCCTTTGAAATATTCACCTCAATCTTTGGCAAGTTTTTAAGCGTTTTTTATCCTTCCTCATAAAATTTGATAGATTTTACGAATGCAAGAAGTAATAGATTTTCTGTGGGCTTTAAAAAAATAATAATGAGTAGAAATTACCAGAATGAGATCTGTGCTGTGGTTATGTGAGCTTTATGAGTTGTCTCATAAATAACTTCAGAACGAACTATTTTTCAGTAATTAATTTCTTCATCATTTTTTAAAGGAAGAGTCTTGTAGACCTAATCCAGCAGAGTGCCATAAAATTTATAGCATTATTTTATGAATGATTATCCTCCCTAAGAAGATTTGCAATAACGATACCATTTTATAATGTTAAGTTATTAAAAAGAAGTGAAATAACAGTTTCAAATCGCACGTCCTTCTTCTCAACTTTTCCGTGGAAGGACATCTTAATTCAATAGAGTTGCTCTTCAAACAAGTATTTCAGCTTAGTCTTCTGTGTCAAAAGCTGCTAGGAGGTGAATGTGTAAGGTTTAATCAAAGTGCAACACCTCAGATGGACAAGTCAATAAAGCAAGTTAATATCTCATAATATGCTTAATTAATATTCAAAAGCTAATGAAAGTGGAGCAGGATAATATTGCAATTACTATGCAAATATTTGTGATATTACACCAGTCCCATCCTATGAACTCCCTGAGAGGTGCATTGTTGAGTTAGAAAGGGACAGAGAGGGAGATATCTGCTTATTTTCTCACAGACACTCCTTTCCTCTTCAACTTTTTCTTCTCCTAATGTAAAATTACATTTTAATGCAATAGCCAGTGATATAATTTTAGACGATTGGTGGTTGTACCATGAACCTTTCAAAAAGGTATCGTCCATCATTAAAATCTATTGTTTCAATTGGAGTAAGATGTTCAAATGGAGAAAGAAATTGCTACAACAGAACTCTACCATACCCTCCCCTATAGCCCACAGAGATTGTGAGGTGCTTATCTATCACTGACGAAGAACAGGACCGTATTGGTGAAAGACAGAGTTCTTTTTTTCTTGCATTAGCAGTGGGAGGTGTAGGATGCTCAGGTAAACTAGTGGTTGAGAAGAGTTTCCTCATAAGTAGTAAAAACAGTCCAGGTGGATTGTGCTCCAGTAATGGTTAGAAAGAGTTTCAACAGATTAAAGCAAATGCAAATATCCTTTATAAGTAGCGACATGAGCTTGTTTTTTCTCCACCGCGTCAGCACAGACAATACAATTTTATTCTGATTTATGGAGCTGAATGCTTTTCACTTATGTCCTCTTGCAGAGTGGATTTGTGCTCGTAGCAGGAGCATTTGACTTTTCTTTGAACTCTTTTTCCTTATATGATTATAAATTAATGTTCTTTGAAGGCATCTAATATCTTTACCTCTACTTTCAGCACAGCAGCAAATGCACTAATCATTTTGATCATGACCTATGTCTTTGGCATCATGGCAAACTGCAAAGACCTGCTGTGATTCTCACATGTACTGCAGAGACATGTGAAATAAGGATTTGGGTTCTCCTTTCACTTCACTGCGTTTTGTCTTTACAAGTAATATAGAACCGTTTTGAGAGAGCCTATTTATTTGAATGAGTTTTCCAATGCTGCCTGCTGTAAGATGTATTTACAGACTAGCTTGAATTTAGAAGTTAGGTCTGATGCTCACAGCAACAGGGAGGATTGCACAGCGCAACATTCTCCACTGTTTCAGTAAGAATGGCAGCTGTGTCTGTGCTTTCGCAGGCTTGCTGGGGACGTTTGCAAACTGGATTTGTAACTTGAGAAACAGGGCTTAAAAGGAGACAGGCAATACCTAGTCCATTTGCCAACCTTAGGACAATTTTATGTATATCATTCTAGAAAGAATTTTGCCACACTGTACATAAAAGCCTCCAGTTCATCAACCTTCTTGAGCAATGTATTCCTGTACTTAACTATCTACAAAAATAAAACTCTTTTCTGCTTAGCATAATGATTCTTACTGAAGTTTTTACCTATTACTTCTTATTTTTTTTATCAAGGAGAAGAAAAGCAGACTGAGTATTACCCAAGTTCTCTCTTTGATATCCCAGTCAATGCAGCATACATTTATCCTTAATTTCGTAATTGCCACATATACTTATAAAGGCAGAAATTGTCAGGATAAGAATTGTATGTATTGAATCATTTTATACGGGGGAAGCATAAGAAGAAGAGAGAAATAAATGTTTTCCAAAGTTAATATACTCCTATAGGTCAGGAAAAAATACGTTTCCCTGGATTCCATCCCAGTCCCTCTCTATTACCTCTCTGCAATGTTTTTTGTCTGAGGGTTACCTCCAATGGCAAAGGAAATACTTGGAATGAGTATGAGAACATTGTCTTTTATTCTTATGTGCCTTTTATTAGTTCTAACATTGCTTTAATTGGAACTGAGGCAATTCAACAGCTTTGGAGCTTCAGCTTTTGCAAACAGATACTCTAATGCTAACACCTAGCAACACCTTTCTTAAAAGCTGGAAAACATTCCGTCAGAATTGAAGAATGAAGATTTTCATGCACCAGACTTTAAATTCTTTACTCTCTGTTTCTTCCACGTACCCGAAATATGTCCTCTTTTTTAACCCATGAGCAAATGCCTTGAAAAAATCACTAGGACTTAAAGATAAGATTGTGCATAAAGAAATCTCCCTGTGAAAGAAAGTAGCAGTTACACAGCTGCAGCACCAAGAGTAGAAGTCTCACACTGTGCACACGCCTGTCAGGTGTGTGCAGTAATGCATTTATCTCATTCACCAGCTTGTCAGAGTAGAAAGTTTTCAAAGAGGTGAGATGCCTATGACACATGCAGATTTGGCTGTTGCTAATATTACTCTGCCATTCAACACTGTGGGGTATTATTTCTCAGGATCATGACTTGTTTTCCACTTGTCCAGTTCTTTTCTTTTGTACCCTTGACTATCACACTAAGGCTTGTTGCATTTTCCTTATGTATATCCATACCCTAGCAAAAAAAAAAAAAAAATCGTTGTTATGGATGGTTCTAAAAATAAAATTATATAATTCGGGAAAATTCTCAGGCACCAAAAAAGAATAAAGAA